AGGCCAAGCCTAATCCATCCGTGTGACCCGAGAGTCCCCAGGGTCTGGCTGTTCAGGCCTCAGAGCACTGGTCTCCAGGGTGGCGATCAAGAGGGAAAATCTGTCCTTTCTGTCCCTTTCTGAGATGGACCCAAGGCCCTGAGTGAAAGCTGGAGGCTGGGTGAGAAGGGTCCTTTGTGGGAGACCAAGGGATAAGCCACTAAAAAGAAGGACAGGGGAGATGACAGATAGATTGGAGGGAAGAGGGGCAGTGTGGCCCAGTCTGGTGGTCTGGTGTTCTGGAGCTCTGGTGGCAGAGTGGGTAAGGCATTTGGATGCTAACCAGAAGGTCAGTGGTTCAAACTCACCAGCTACTCTGCGGGAGGAAGATGGGGGTGACGACAAGTCACAATCTACTCAATGGCAATGAGTTTGGGTCTTTTATTTATTTATTTCCTTTTTTTTGTGGCCCAGCCTGCACCTCTGCTCTGCTCCTGCCTGGGGCGGGCCCCTCAATCTTCACCCACCTCACACCTCACCTGAGATCCAATTAGTCCTGGCAGAAGGTCTGTTAGCTTCATTTACTGAGAAGAAAACCAAGAGAAATGAAGTTACTCAGGTCACATGGCCAGTGAGGATTGGAGTTGGGGTTCCCACCCAGCCCCCCAAGGAAGCCCACCCACTTCCCTGGTCCCAGTAGCCCATGGACCTTTCTCCTCTCTCCCTGGCCCTGCTCCCTCTCACCTTTCTTGTACCCACCCTTCCCCATTGAGACTTTCTCACTGAGTCATGTTCTGGGTCTCTAACTTTCTGGTCTCTGACCCTCTCTGTTTCTAAATTTCTCTCTCAGAAAGGCAACCCAGGCCTCTCACTTTGCTCTCTCTTTCATTTCATGTCTCAACCCCAACACACTGTCCACCTCCCTTCTGCTCATCTGTCATCTTAACACTCCAAGGCTGTGCCCAGCAGAGGAAGGGGCAAAACTCTGAGTGCTGGTGCCCCTGTACCTTGAGTGCCCACTGACAGCTCCCCCATGTTCCTCCTGCACAGTCCTCCCCAGGCAGTATGAACCTGTCCCGGACCTTCTGGGGTCCCTGGTTGCTTCACACTCAATAAATAAAGGAGGGGATCCAGGTGGCTGTTAGGTTCTCGGGTAAGGAGTGTGTATCTTGAAACTTGGATAAGAAATCTTTTCAATGCCCATAGCTGTCCTCCTTGGGCATTAAAATCTCTTTTCACACACCTAGGAGATCCCACCGAACAAGCTCAGAACATACTTTCTTAGCATGGGGACTTGGAAGTGGAAGAGCAAAGTGGGAAGGGCCTGAGAGGGAGTCCTTCCGGAGAGTACAGACTCCCAGGCCTGCCATGAATTAGGAATCTGAATTGTAACAGCTCCCTGACACAGTCTGTGACCCATGGTTTAGCAGGTGCTGTGTGACATCAGAAGGAGCTCTGGTGGCACAGTGATTAAAGTATTTGGCTCCGTGGAAAAAAGATGAAGCAGTCTGCTTTGGTGAAGATTTACAGCCTTGGAAACCCTAGGGGGCATTTCTACTCTGTCCTGCAGGGTCCAGCATTGACTTGATGACAATGGGTTTGTTTTGTTTGTTTGTTTGTTTGTTTGTTTTGGTGTGACATCAGGGGAGCCTCTCACTTTGAGCCTTGGTGGGAAATGGCATAAAAGAAGTCTTGAAGTCATGCAATAGATACAGAATGAAGAAACCCAGCACCTTGGCTGGTGGATTATGGGCAATTTTCTGTTTTCCAAGCTTTTAGAATGTGATCATATGAATTTTCATTTACTATTATTATTCTCCCTTAAATTGAGAAGGCAATGACTCTTGTGGGAAGAGCGTTGGACTAGGAGTCAAGATTCCTGAGTTCCAGCCCTGGCCTTGCCACAAGTGGGGTATGTGAGTTTGGTCCATCATTCAGTGTGTCACCCAGCCCGTCTCATAATTTGATATTAGGTGTAGCCCATGTCTTTCCCTGCCTGGACATCCAGCCTGTGTTTCTTTGTGCTGCCCCAGCCTGCCCCACCAGGCCAGGCTTCCGGCAGCTCAGTGTGTTCCTGGGTGGGATGACTTGGGGGCCTGGGGCAGCCATGGGGAAGTGAGGGGATCCCAGGGGGCCTCTTCTCCATCTGCCTCTCCCACCTCTACAGCTCTGGGGTCCGGGGAAGGAGGGGGGTGGTAGCAGGAGGAGGAGGTGTCACTGCCAGGGTTCTTCTTCTCACCCAAGCTGGCAGAGGGGCGGGACTGGCAGTGGCAACACCAGGGCCACTCAGCCCCCGCTTTTCACAAGCACTTTCTTTTTTGGGTGGAAGCAATTAGAGGGAGGGGGGGTGAAAAGTCAGCCCATCAGCCCACCGGGTTATAGAGGGAACGCCCCACTCACCCTCCCTGTTTCTCCAGATCCGTGTCCCAGTCCACCTGACTCCATAACTCTTCCTGCCCCAGAGAGCCCAGTGGGGCTCAGCCTACCCTGCTCAAAGGCAGGGGGGATGGACTGATTCACCCGAGGATTAGGGTGAAAATTAAGAGGACAAGAAGCAGGGAGAAAGAAGACCCCATCTGGCCTTCCACAGCCAAACACTTAGCAAAATGTCCCCCAAAAGAGGTGTCAGCTTTCAAGTCTCACATCTCCAGGGGAAACCAGTCATTCAGGGGAGTCTTAGTGAAATCTCTCATGCTTCTCGAAAAGTAGCCAAGGGTCCCAGCATCACTGTCTCTTTCAAACAGGGCTGCCCTCTGAGAACAGCAGGCAGAAACTTTTCTGTTCCTTAAGGCACTGGGAAATGGCGGGTAAAGGGTTAGGAGGAGGCCAGCCCCCGTTTCTGGTGTTTTCTTGTATCTGGTCTCCATCCTCAAGGGGTCCTCTGAACCTCTCTCACCACCCCCTCCCTGGGTCATGCCCGCCCCCTGGGGTCCCCAGCCTTGCCTTCACCTGCCAACCTGCCTCTCAGTTCAGCTCTAGTTGGGAGCAGAGAGTCCCCCTGGGGCTCTAAGGGTGAAACCCCGTTGGGCTGGGACAGAGCTGAAGAGATGGGGCCAGCCCCCAAAGGAGAACTGGGGAGTGCTGGAATGGGGGGGAGGAGAGGGGAACCTTGGACTGGATGAAGACTGTAAAGTGTTGCTCAAAGCACTCTTTAAAATGTAAATCCTTATCTATATATTGACATGCAAAAAATTCCATGACACCTTGTTGAGTGAAAAAAAACTACAAAACAGCACGTGTGGTGTTGATATAAAGTTACAGATTTGTGTGTGTGCAAGACAGAAACAGAATGTAGGGAGTGTCTGAACGCGGGCTCCCCGAAATGGCAATCCTGTTTGCCCTGTTTGCCTCGGAGGGGTGGAATTTGGGGTGATTTATACAGTCTTTTTTTTTTTTTTTAACTTTGCTCTACTGCTTATATTTTCTATATGAGTGAACTCCCAAAAATGCTATTTTCATTTGGGGAAAAAAAATTAAAAACAAAACAAAAACAAAAACAGGGTTGTTTTCATCATAAAAACAGTATAACTACATTCGTTAACAGAAAAAAAAAAAAAAGCAAAATAAAGAAAAGCGAAGTGCCCGGAGTCCCATGGCCAAGGCGGCCCTTCAGAACCCGCGGTGGGTTTCCTTCCTGTGGGCCGACTCTGAGTCTCCGAAGCAGCTTTTCCATGTGTGTGTAACAGACTGGCAAGTGATACAGACACGGTCTCGCGTGTCCGCAGCCTCTCCGGAAAGCAGATCCGTCTATTTCTCCACCCACAGATGAGGTGCATGAGGCTGACTTTCAGACAAGGGAAGTGACTTGCCCAGGTCACACGTACCTGAGTGACAGGCAGAGTTCTGAGTCTCGAGCCAGGGCCCTCGAAGCCCTATGCTCTTTCCAGGGCCCACGGCCGGCCGGCCGGCCGGCCGGGGCCGGTCGCCATGATGGATGGGGTAGCTTTTGTGGGCCCAAGCCAGCCCAGGGTCTTGTAAATCAGCGGCTGCTGCTGCTGCAATCCCCCTTAAGAATCGCTTCCTGCTGCCAAGGGTCCCAAAAAGTAGCCAAGGGTCCCAAGGTCACCCTTCTTTTCAAGAAGCACTGCCCACCTAGAACAGCGGGCAGGTCCCAGGTCTGCCTTGGGTCTTGAGGGACCAGACACATGGGACACACTCCACCCAGACCTCTGGCGGGAGAAAGAAGCCGAACTCCACGCAAAGCCTCTGAGCACAGAGCCCGGACGCACCGCAGGCAGCAATGAATCTCTGCTGAATGTTCAGGGTCGCAGCAGGCTTTGAGCCAGCCAGGGACCGAAGCCCCATCTGGGCCATCGCTGAAGGCGTCCCCTTGTTGGGAGCCTTGAGGCTGAGCCTCCAAGGAAGGGTGGAATTTCCCCGATGGTCCAGGGGCGAGAAACGGGCTGGCGTTTCAGATGGAGGAGTTGGCAAGCCTAGGTCTGGAAGCCCATAGTGCCGAGCGCGCGGGGACTCGGTCGTCCCCACCGTGGGGGGCCCGCTGGTGCTCACCCGCAGCGGAGTATTTGCCTAGTATTAGCCGCGAGGGGGCGGGGAGAGCGGGGCGGGGCCGAGGTGGCCTGGTGGGGGGGCCTGGAGAGCTTCATAAAGCCACGGCAAAGGTGCCGCGGCGCAAGTGACAGCGGCCCGCCGGAGAGGGAGCCGGCAGCTGCCGCGTGCCCGCCAGACGCGGGCGCAGGACCCAGGCATCCAAGTCGGGCTCGGTGGGGCCCC